TGGGTCTTTGGCTGCCGGGACGTTGCCTTCCAGAGGGAGGGGATAGTGTTACGGACCCAGCCAGGGCTCGATCCCTGTTCCGCGGGTTACCACCCGCCAGGCTGCTATTCTATTTTTTTGGAGTCTCTGATCTCCAGTTCCTGACTGTTGGCGCCCGTTCTCAAAGCCCGCCTCTGGCACTTTCGGATTTCGGTACTTGGCGCCATCCGGCATTCTGGCGCCCAGGCTCAGACCTTCGATTTTCAGTTCAGCCCCGAGGCAAACTGCACTTCTGCCCTCGGACTCAACTTGAGTCCGGTACTTAAGACCGGACTCGAGCTGAGTTCGTGGGATTCAGTTTTCGGCCTCAGTGCTTGTGCTTCAGTGTGATTTGCTGCGACATTGTGTACGGAACCAAGATTGCGACTTTGCGACTTTGTCACCTTGTGTCTGCGTCCGTCGAGTCGTGTCGAGTCCATGTCGAGTTGAGTGAGTGTGTGTGTGTGCTCTCACTCCCTCCCTCTCTCTTCCCCGACCTCACTGCTCTACCTCCGCCTCGTCACAGAAGCAGGCTGGATATGGAACAAAGTTCGCGACCTACGGTCCCTCCGCTTCCCATCACCCCTTCCCCCCACATCTCCTCAAAACATCCTCCTCCTATCCAACAGTACTAACAATCTCAAAGGCAGAAAGGACATCTGGTTTCACCTTCTCAGGGAGCTGTCCCTGTGGGTGATCTGGAAAAGGAGGTGTGCCAAGACTATTGAGAGAACTGCGGTGGCAAGGGAAGAAATGTGGGCCCTACTGTCAAGTATGCTGGAAACTGAGATACGGTGCAGATGGAGGGAGGTTACATCATCAACGAAAGTCAGACCAGAAAGGCTTTCCAAGAGATGTTCTTTTATGAGAGACTGGCTCCTACAGGGAAAAATTGCAACAGTGGCAGATAATAGATTGATCTGGAGGAAATGGCACAGCGAAACTCCAGCAGGGACGACGACCCAATGATGGGCAAACTGAGACCATAGTCTCAACACGAACTATATGACAGAATCACAATGGATTCTGAGAGGAAAAGCGGTAGGGCAAGCTGACAGTCAATCCTTCTACATAAGAGCAATCAATGGTGGTGAGGGTTCCTTCGGCCAGATGGAAGGAAGCGTGAGTGCGTCCACCATGTATTCCAATTCTCGACTTGACGGTGGACGGGAACCGGACTGATGCTCCCCAAAATGGATACGGAGCCAGGACCTGATTTAAAAAAAAAAAAAAAAAAAAAAAAAAAAAAAAAAA